TAAAAGTTAACTATAACCGAATAAAAGGAGCCGGCCAAGAGGCCACCTTAACACCAAAAAAAAAAAAAAAAAAATTTGTTTTTAGATGTTTCATCTAGCTATCTTCCAAATATTGGCTTTTTATATTAAAAAATTTTGACCAGTGAGGACTATGAAAAAGAATTATATCTTAACTAGAATTGGAAGCATTTCTGGCATCAGTGAAATGACTATAGAATAGATATACCATTGAAATTATTTTAGATTTCAGGATACGAAATTAAAATTTGAAAACAAAATTGTTTTTAATCTATTTTACTTAAAAGATGAAATTTTTTGACACTTTTTTTAAAGAGATAAAATTATAAAGAACATAACTACTTAAATTAGATTTGCTCTTGCATATAAAAAATTCTAAATTGCTTTAATAGAAACGAAATAGGGTTTTTTGAAAACCTATTTTGGTGGCATATATACTATAGAAGGCTACTTGGCATAGAGAATGTAACCCACTTTTGTATATCTAAAAGTACCAATTTAGGCTCTGGTCAGAAGTACTTAAGGGGTTGTATATTATATCAGATAACTTAGAAAATGTAAGATCTGAAAAAAGCAAACTGGTAGTAGCAGCAGGTGTCTGGCTTGAGATACAAGATTAATATACCTGAAGAAGTAAGTAGAAGGGTTTGTGGCATTCATATAAATATCAGATACTGTTGTATGAAAGGATACAAGTTAATAATAAGCAATACAAATACAAGATAAGTTCAAAATTTTGACATATGATACTAATATTTCTTATATAGGACTAGTGGTAGTAGCAGGTACCTGGCTTGAGAAACATATATGAGAGGCCACCTGACAAAAAAATATACCAGTTTAAATAAAGTACTAAATAATAGACACACCAAACTGGAAGGCTATAAAAGACTGATTTCCTGAATAAACCAATTTGAAAGTAACTAAGGTTTGATAATAAGATATGGGATGAATATAGTGGGTAACTAGAAATAATCTAAACACCAAATCCAGATATAACCCAATATGTAGTGGGAACATAGCATACTCTAGTAGGTTTAGATTATAAATAAAATTGTCTAAGCCTGTATTTTTAAGATTATATGTAACCATATAAGGCAAATATTTATTGCTCTTTTCAATTAACTCTAAATCTAGTGAATTCTATGATTATATTAATAAACGCACCTAGCTTTAGCCATTGAACGTAGTGATGTGGTCGCAATTTAAATTTTTGTTTTAAATAAAATCGATTTGTTTGAATCACAAATTATGAAAGTATAAATTTTATTTTCTATTAATTGAATTAATAAGTGCGAAAATATAAATTATTAGATGAATTAAAAATTTTAAAATTGGCAATTTGGCATTATTTTCAATTTTATACAATACAGTACTGGGTTAATATCACTAGATTTAATGAACACTAGTCCCATTTATATATTTTTTCTTGTTAATTTCCTCAATGATCAAATATGTAATTATTGATTTAGATAGCCTTTTGGCCAATACTAATTTGCCCAACACTGTTTACTATATATTCTAAAAATATTTTTAGTATCTCTAGAAAAATGAACTTATTTGTAAGTGTTCAACGAAATATATTTCAGAAGTAAATAAAGAGTGGTTATATAGTTTTATTGGTAATATGAAATCTATACTACACTATCATAAGATTTTACAAATCCACAGTGAAAAATCAATGGACAGTGCTTAGATATAGTGCAAATTCACTAATTGGTAGCTAGGATTGGTAGATTTCTGTAATGATAATGTTATATGAATTTTGCAGTCTTTAACATTAAGATTAAGCACTATCCATAGATTTCGCAGATTATAAGTCTAGTATCACCACCCTAAAAGATTTCGCTGATTTATCTCTATATATTTCTGGTACAGTCAAACCTCCCTAGCCTATGAAAAACCTCCCTAAATGCACATCTTTTCTTGAGCCCAACTTATATTATATCTATAGATTTTTACCTTTCTAAATGCAATACCTCTCTAAATATACATTTTGCTAAATTTTTACATATGGTTCTATCGCATTGCATTTAAAGAGGTCTGAAGTAAAGTTAAATAACTTGCTAATTAGCAAATATAAAAATAATATGATATAACGATAATTATTAAAAAATAATAATTTATATAAACAAATCAAGGACATATATTCAAGACAATAATTAATGTTGATTGGAAGACATTTCAGTCTGAAATAACATAACTGATAAGAAATTTTTACTTACGTACACTTTTGATCCTTGTCAATATCAACCTATTTGGATTGGTTTTAAATTCATGTTGATAACGATATTAATGAGGAATCATATTAAAGTTGATGTATACTGTATGAGAATTTTAATATGTATATAGAAATTTATAAAAATTTATCTTAGCATTATGGTTTAAGTTGATATTAATGAGGCTAATATCAACGAAGGCCAAGCGCATAATGATAAGTTGTCACCAAATTTTCAGTTATAGTATTATTCGGTCAGTCCATATATCTCTAGTTTATCACCTTTATTTTTAAACATATTTTCATTGATGTTGCTGTATATATTGAGAACTTGCATAGTGGCGTACGTGTTAAAATTATTTTTGTGTTACTATAATATGCACTACCATATACTGTATATAAATAATGATGAGATGGAGATAAACCAAATTATTCTTATTACAGTATAATGGATTGGTTAAAATATAAGTTATTTAAGTATCAGGTAAAGTTTTCGTGCTATCAACAATGAATTTATATAAAAAGATTTATTCATTTTATTTATTTGCAATTTACTAGCATTCAAGTGAAATTTATATGACTCCAATAACATGGAATGTTAATGATAAATCCTCTTATTTAAATATAGATTCAAACGGACTTGGTGTAAATTATACAGGTGAGAACATACATTATCTACTATATGCATTTTTAAGGCACTCAGAAATTCATAATTATCTCTTATCAAAATATTTTTAATATAAATGTTAAGGCTAAATAATTTTACTACTACCTTTGTAATTTTTTTTCTTAATTAAAAAAGGTTATGATGAAGATGCTGTAATTCGTACGAATAACCCAATTTCATCTCAATGTAAATTGTTTTATTTTGAAGTTGATATTATAAATGATGATATTGATGATAATGATGATGATAATAAAGATGATGATAATAATGAAGATGAGAAAGATAGTAAAGTTAATATTATAAATAATGATGATAATAATGATAATGATGATGATAATGAAGATGATGACAATGAAGATGATGATTATGAAGATGATGATAATGAAGATGAGGAAGATGGTAAAGTTGATATTATAAATAATGATGATAATGATAATGATGATGATGATGATGATAATGATAATAAAGAAGATGATGATAATAATGATGATGATAATAATAAAGATGATGATAATGAAGATGATAGTGATGATAATGAAGAAGATGAGGAAGATAGTGAAGATGATAGTTATGAAGAGGATGAAGAAGATGGGTAAGATGCAAAATGTCTGGCGATATTAAATAAGATTCATTTTCTTATACTGTAATTTCATTAAATCTTCCATGAAGAATTATTGCAATCGGATTTTGCACAAAATCAGCTAAACTAAATAAATTACCTGGTAATTACAGAATTTACTTTTTATTGTCTATAAAAATATCTTATTTAAAAATATATAGGCTGCCATCAATAGAAATCAGACAGATCTATATTTGAAAAAAAATTAATACCTTAACTTTCATAGCTCATATCTCAATGGATATTAAAGCTATCTTGATGGTTTAATATTCAAAAGAAAGCTTAGATCGTAGGCTTTCTTTTGAATATTAAATCATCAAGATAGCCTTAAAATCTATCGAGATATGAGCTGTAAAAGTTAAGGTATTAATTTTTTTTCAAATGTAGATCTGCCTGATTTCTATTGATGGCAGCCCATATTATTAATATATTTATTATTTATAGGGTATGGCAAGAATTCATGGGGATATCTTAGCGATGATGGAAATTTTTTTGATTGTTCAGAGCTTGAAGAGCCATATGGTCCTACATTTAAAACCAGCGATACTATTGGGTGCTGTTTAAACTTTAGAAATAACACCATATTATATACCAAAAATAGCGTGAATCTAGGTAATTATTTTTTAATTCCTAAATTTATTTGAGATAAAAGTTAATAATTAATTGTTTTACACCATTTTTAAGGAATTGCGTTTTGAGACTTAAAAGATTTAAAGAATAATCTTTATCCTTGCATTGGAATAAGATCAAAAGTCGGAATGTCTATAAAGGCGAATTTTGGACATAAAAAGTTCAAATATGCAGGTGAATATGAATATGTTTTATCTAACATTGAATCTACATGTCTAAATTTTGTGCTTATTTTAATATTATCATTACCTTCATGAATAGCAATAACTGATGATGATATTGATGATTGATTGAAAGAAAAATGGATTAAAGCTCTTGAACAATATGATAATGAAGATAAAGACATGATTGAAGATTTTATAAAGTCGCTAGAAATTAAACAAAATGATGAACTTGCATTAAGATACAGTCGGCCTTCTCAGAACCAGTATGCATAGTAGATGGGTTTAGTATCAGAAATAGCAGGTTATCGATTATTACTTATGGAACGGATGTCTGGTAGATTGATTTTAAATCGATTTTGGCAGGTTATCAGTTTTGACAGGATTGGTTCTGAGAGGGCCAACTATATCATGCAAAGGCTCATTTTATTATGGAAAAATATAAAGAAGTACTTGCAAATTTAACTAAATTGCTTGAAATTGATCAAAACAATGCATTCGCGTTAAGATATCATGGAAAAACTTATTTTATTTTAGAAAAATATGAGGAATTAAGTGCGGACTTAAAAAAATTACTACAGTACCGGATAGCTAAAGATATCCACTTTTTATATATAAAAATATAAAAAGCTTATAACTTAACAATAAATAACTTTAAAAAAAATCTGTCTTACAAATTTGTTGCTTTTAGTTTAAGCTACAATTCTGTTAGAATAGATTTTA